ATACAATACAATACAATACAATTCAATGCAATTGTGGAATGTAGTTTAAGAGAAAGTCAGTAATTTAAAAAAGCCAAATAATTCACATTCTTTGACAATATTTTTTGTTACATACTGTATTTTTTGGAGTATAAGATGCACCTTTTCCCCCCAAAAGAGAGGGTGAAAATCTGGGTGCATCTTATACACTGAATACAGCATTTTTGGCCCCCTGAAACCCCGCCCCCTTCACAAAAATGCACGTGCAGAGGGTTTAGGAGGCCTGCAAAGTGCTCCTGGGGGCTGGGAAGGGCAAAAATGAGTGAAAAATGGGCCATTTTTGCTTGTTTTTGCCCCCCCCTCCATGAACACTCTACAAGCCTCCTAAAGGCTACACATGTCCTTTGTTTTGGCATAAAATGGGCCCATTTTTGCAAAAGATGGGTCATTTTTTGCTTGTTTTTGCCCTCCCTCCAGCACCCAGGAGCACTTTGCAGGCCTCTCAAACTCTCTGCATGCCCCATTTTTCACAAAAAATGAGGTGTGCAGAGGGTTTGGGAAATCTGCAGAGTGCAAATACTTTTTTAAAAAATTTTCCTCTTCAAAATCTTGGTGCATCTTATACTCCATTGTGTCTTATTCTCCCAAAAATATGGTATTTCAATTTCTCCCTTCTTTATATTCCTTGATAAGAATCATAGACAAAATTAAGATGTGAATTAAAACACATTAAACTCAAAGAGGTTTATTCTTTATTAACCTTCATCTGAATAAACAATGTATTTTATAAATCAAGTGTGGATGTTATTTTGAATATTAGATATTGTTTTTCTATTATTATTAAATTTCTATACCACCCATCTCATTTAAATGATCCTGGATGGTTTAAAACAATATAATAAAATGATATAAAACATGAGAAATCACAATTAAAAACAAGCTTATAAAATTATATTATTATGTTACAATATGAAGAAAAATTAATAGGATTTAGAATAAACAATATATTGCATAGTCTTTCAAAACTGATGGTTGAGTACCACTATAACAATAGCAAACTTCTTCACCGTTAATTATTTTAAGTATTTTCAATAGCATAATTAAATATTTTTTTAAATTAAATATTTTTGATAGAAATAGAAAACTTGCATTCACTGACACTTAATGTCCACATTTATCCAAAATTTGTATATACTCAAACCATATTTATAAACATAATTATTATAATACCTCTATGACTCTTAATTAATGTTTTTCCAATGAATGACTTAGAGAAACTTTTCAATATTATTTAAGCGCTGCTTTGCTAGTCAAAGACTCCAATCTTTTAAAAATATCAAGCTTCAAAAGCACTACAGTTTAATCCTTTAGAAATTACACAGTGTGCAAAGTGGAAATGTGTTAAAGGTATGGGTAACTTATTGCTATCCAATACACTATACTAACTGTACAACATTGGTTCACATATAGCCTTCTATTATACATTCCTTAAATTATACTCTAGTTATATGCATATAGCTAGAGATAGGCCAGAGGAAAAAGTGTTCATCACTTTGAGTTTTGTTATGTAGATAAAAGCTGACCCACTTAGGAATCTAACAAATTGCTTAGACAAAAATATTACTTGCCTCAGCTTACTTCAGATGAAATATTTTATGGCTATTTGTGAAACTATGTTTGTAAAGTCATGTTTAGAAAAATCAAAATGTTTGTCTTTCATTTTAATTTTATTTCAAACTAGAAAAATACTGTACATGTCCTATTGGTAAAGAGACCTATTACACAGTTGAAAATGGGCTTTTTTCCAATCCAACCCAAATGTTCAAGGAATATGTATGGGATGAGTATAATACAAGGAAAATGTAATAGGAGACAGATATGTAACAATATCATTTGGCAAAATGGAAAATATAGTGGTTTTTGAATAGTTCTAAATTGTTAATTATTAATCCATATTTGGAGAGTTTTGTACAGCATAGCAGAAAAGAGAAATAGAGAAAACAATGTGCCCAAAAAGTATGTCTAGGCTTATCCATCATGATCTCCTTAAGAGAATGTACAATAGAAAAATGGCATCTGTCATTTTTATGGCAGATGACTATGTTGCTTTTCTCACATTGCATCTTTCTAGAAAAAGGGTGGCGATATTCTGTCTTTCTTGAAGACAACATCTTTTTTTCTTGTGACAACATATTTTTTCCCCTGAAAATCATGATTCTTATTTTTTATTTCAAAATCTAAGGATCATGTGCAACAGTCTAGGTGGCCTTGCTTCTGAATATATAGGGAATATTCTATTCACTTAGAGTTGTTGGTGTTATATCATTCCCCCATGGCAAAAAATTCCCTCCTACTAATTCTACCTTGCAGCATCTCCAGTTTATTGGGAAAAAATGTTTTGAGTTCTAATATTGTTTCTGTTTTGAACCTAGCGGGTCCTATTGTTGTATCTCCTAATCTAAACTTATATTAACTTTACAGATTCAACTAAAGCAATTATTTGTCTTCTATTAGATTATTTGAGACTCAGAAAGTATTATTTCTCTATTACTTTTTCTTTCCAAGGTTCTCGCAAAGTAGCCTTTACTCTGTATTTTGGTACTTGAAGCACAACTCCAAATTTACCCTCTGGTTCAGGCAGTGTATCTCCCTCAGGAATACTGAGTGAGAATTTTTGCAAGATCCAGGATATAAAGAGAAACAGCTCCATCTTGGCCAGGGTTTCTCCCAGGCAAACACGGATACCAGCCCCAAAGGGGAGGAAACTGGGTGAGGGAGAGTAGATCCGGTTCCCATTCTCATCCAGAAAACGATCTGTGAGGCAAGAGCACAAACATTTTCTAAAAAACATGGCAAACTCAATAATGAAGAATAGGAGTAGTTGGCTAGACATTCCCAAATTTATAATTGAACAAGGATTCTTTAAGTACCGGTATCCAAAATACTGTATTACATTATCACTCATGGTGGCAGTCTAGGGAAAAGAAATGTGTATATACTGTAGTTGTTATAACTGTAGCAAGGAAGGGTCATATTGGAGGAAAAAATTCTGATGAGGAGGAACCTGAAGAAAGTTCTTTAGTAGGGTATTGGTTTGCGGAATGTGGCAGTGGGTAGAAAGGTAATACAAATTATATGTTTAAAAAGCAGCCCTTCATGACAATAAAAGAATTTTAATGGCAAGTCCTACTCATACACATAGAATAAGAATGGTGGGACACCCACCTGGGTTAAATTTCTCTGGCTCATCCCACTCTTTCTCATCATGGTGAATGGACCACAGGTTGATTACAACTTCAGTTCCCTTGGGGATATGATATTCCCCGATGCTGCAGGGGAAAAAAATTTTCCTTTAATGAAAGTCCTCTTCCTCATCAACTCCCATTATTGGAAATGATCCTCCTCACCTTGTATCTGCCAGTGCCTCATGAGGGATAAGAAGTGGTGCAACCGGGCGAATACGCAGAACTTCACTAATGGTAGCCTCCAGGTAATTTAAATGCTGTCGATCAGCAAGTACAGGATGTCTATTAAAACCAACTTTCTGATCCAGTTCCTCTTGGATCTTCTGTTGTACCTGAAAAAATGAGGAAGATATTAAGCAAGTTAGTTTATGATAGCTGTGGAGGAATTGCCTTGTGACCTAGACAATGGTTCAACAATGGGAAGAAATCAGCTTGAGTATTTTAATGATAATGGAAATCATAAAACTCTGGAAACAGAAAATACTATTTGATTCCAAAACATTGTTTTCAGACAGGACCAAAGACAGTCTTGCTCAGCATACCTCAGGCCAATAATTCCACACTGGACTATTTAATTCACTTTAGGTGGCGTCTTCCCTGAAATAAATCCAGAAACTTCAGGCAGTGTAAAATGTATCAGAATAGATGATCTAGGCCTCCCAAAATGTTTTTTTTATCAGCCTGAATTGCAGGAGTTCTATTGGCTTTCTGTAGTCTTTAGGATCAGTTTCAAGGTTTTACTATATATATAGAATGCTTCCATTCTCTGTCTATTGGCTCGTCACAAGAGACCATCATGACAGAAACCCAAGGCAACAGTAAAAATATTGGGTTTCTGTCGTGATGGTCTCTTGTGACGAGCCGATAGACAGAGAATCTGTCTCCCTCCCTCCCCCCTCTCTCAGACACACGCAGAGAACTTCGATCCCTCTTTCATTCACTCACTCTCAAACACAAACACAGAAGTTGGATTGGATATATTTTCCAAAGGCTT